AAAAAGCGGCCCCCCCCCCCCCCCATCCCATCCCATCCCATCCCCTGGCACAATCCCGTGTGAAACCGTCGCATCTCAGCCCCCCCAAAGAACGCAGCCGCTCTACCGTAATACTACCCTTCTCCCGAGAAATGCAGCCGCTCTTCATACTCGTACCCTTCTCCCGAAAAACTGCAGCCCTTCTCCCGACACGAGATGCCGAGCCCAGAGCGCAAAAGTTTCGGCTCGGCGGTTAAAACAGGCTGCCGGTGAGCCCTTCTGCCCGGGATGGCTTTCGCGCATGTCGGAATATCACGGGATGGCATCTTCTGCGGCGCTAAATGGCCATTACCTAATGCCTCTTTATTTTTGTCGAGGCCATGCGGAGGATTACGGGAACTCGCGGTCAGGCATGGGACGGGCTCTTCGAATTGATATTGATTGATTGATCCAACGCTACAGTACCTGGAGGCATAAGCCCGCTGTGATGATGACATGGCATGGAACCAAATGAAATGACATGAAATGACAGACATGACATGAACCGCAATGTCCCCGAAATACTACGACTAACCGGCTATGCAAGCCAACGACTTTGTAAAGAAACCAGTCGTAAATCGTCCAACCTGCACGAGCTCTTCATATAGCCACAAAGAAGCCCTTTTCACCCTCCTTGGGAACCACTCGGGCCTTTCTCATGATTTCATCTTCACACATCAACCGGATCCTCTCGGGCGTCGCCGGGCTCTCCAGCCTAAGGAGGCCCTCGCAGTCATCTTTCCCTACCAAGGCTTCGACGCCCGCGTCCTTCCTCGCCGCCTTGAGCGCATGCCGGATGGCGAAGAAGACGGAGCTGCCCATGAAGAGCGGGGGCTCGCCGACACCTCTGCTGCGCTGAATCGTACGCAAGTCCTTCCACTCAACGTCCTTGAGGAGCGTCACGTTGAATTCCTGAGGAATGTCGCGGAAGCCTGGGATCTTGTACGCTCCGGGGCCGCGTGTGAATAAGTTGCCAGCCATGGCGCCGTTTCGTAACCACAAGGACTCTTCCATGGTGAAGAGCCCGAGGCCTTGCATGAAAGCACCCTGGATTTGGCCATAGTCGATGGCTGGGTTGATGGACTGGCCGATATCCATCTTGATGTCTGCCCGGAGGCAGGTCGAAGAGCCGGTGAGGACATCGATTTCGACCTCTGCAGCGGCAACTCCCTGGGTGAAATAAAAGTACATCTTGCCCTTGTTCTCGCCCCAGGTGTACCCAATCTCGGGAGTCTTGTAGAAACCTTGGGCGGACAGGTTGACGCGGTCGAAATAGGCTGCGTTGGCCAGCTCCTTCATCGTTGCTTGCGGGCCGAGTTTCTCTCGATAGGGGGCCAGGCGCTCGTTGAGCTGTTGGCAAGCGTTGAAAATTGCATACCCGTTGAGATCGGAGGACGCAGACGCCGCTGTCGAGGAGGTGTTGGCGACTGTGTTGGTGGAGGTTTCTGAAATGAAGACATCGTCAAAGGGGACCTCGAGGGCTTGTGCGGCAATCTGGGTCATCTTGGTGTGAAGTCCTTGGCCCATTTCAGTACCTCCATGAGCTACCAAGATGGAGCCATCGTGGTAAATGTGCACCAGCGCTCCCGCCTGGTTGAGGAAGAGAGCCGTGAACGAGATTCCAAACTTGGTGGGGATCAGGGATATTCCCCTCTTGCGCCACTTGTGAGTCTCGTTGAACCGATCGATGGCAGCCTTGCGCTCCTGGAAATTGGACTCTTCCTGCACTTGCTTGTACATGAGGGGAACGTGCCAATCCGTGACGGGCTGGTTGAAATGCGTCGGCTCGAGGGGTTTGTAAAAGTTGATTTCGCGTAGCTTGTCAATGGGAATGCCCAAACGATCTGCGGCCTCCTCCATACAAGTCTCGATGATGAACATGCCCTGAGGGCCACCAAAGCCACGGAATGCAGTGTTGGAGACCGTGTTGGTCTTGCAGACGCGGCCGCGGATGTGTGTGTTGGGGATGCGGTAGCACCCATCGATATGCGTCACTGCTCGCTCAAGCACCGCCGCGCTGAGGTCAAAGGTCCAGCCGGCATTGTTGAAAATGTCGACATCCAGAGCCTGAATCTTTCCGTCCTTGTTGAAGCCAACCTTGTACTTTCCGAGGAACGGATGCCTTTGACCCATGGTGAGCATGTCTTCCTCTCGTGTCAACATGCAGCGGACTGGCCTCTTGGTCTTCTTGGCCGCAAGAGCCACGGCCGAGCTGAGGATGATGGACCGAGTCTCCTTGCCACCAAAGCCACCTCCTAGTCGCTTGACACGGACGACGACTTTATTCGCGGGCACATTGCAGACACGAGCCGCAAATGTTTGGCTATACAGAGCAAAGTTAGTTGATAAAACTACCGAGGAGGCTGGGCGTGTGTATATACTCACGTTTCAGTTGGGTTCTGTGTACTGGAGAAAATCTCCATTGCCCCGTCTTCTGAACTGGGAACGACGGCGCAGGCGTTGGTTTCGAGGTAAAAGTGCTCTTGACCGCCCATTCGCGCGGTACCTGTAAAGACATAGTCGCAACCCTTGAAGGCTTCTTCCACGTCTCCAGTCTTGATCTCGCGAAAACATGGGTGGAAGCTATCTTGCTGGATGGCCTCCTCAATCGTCAGGACGGCTGGCAAATCCTCGTATTCCACCTTGACGGCTCTTGCCGCTTCTTGGGCCTTGGAGGCCGACGTGGCAAGGACCATGGCGATGGCCTGGCCAGCTGTAAGGACTTCACCCTCGGCGAAGAAGAGTTCATCAAAGTTGGGCGGTCCAAATCGGTTGGCTGCTTGAGAAGGCATATCGGAACTATCGACATAGTCAACTACACCGGGCATGTCGAGCGCGACGGAATAGTCGATGGATTTGATCTTTGCATGCGCTCTGGTCGATAGCACCCAACACCCGTACAATTCGTTCTTCAAAGGAGGGATATCGTCCGTGTACTGGGCCTCACCAGTCGTTTGCTTGAGTGCAGCAACATGAGGGTTCGACTTGCCCGTGACGGCCTGTTCGTATGCGGCTGCCGTGTGAGGATCAGTTTGGCCAGTAGAAATGGATCGCTCAATTTCATCAATGGCCTCCTTGTCAACGTGCTCGCTTTCCCCATTGAGGATGGTGAGGACGTCGTGGTAGAAGCGGTAGAAGAAGCCAAGGGCCAACGCTTTTCGATAGGATGCCATGCCACCGGGGACGCTGAATTGGAGATCAAAGTCCTTTCCGAGCGCACTCATGGTCCCTTCAAGTGTCTCCAGCTCAGCCAGGGGTTTCCCAACCAGGTACTCTGCCGCAGTCTTTGCCGAGACGGTCATGGCAGCCATGCCGCCATAAATTAGGTTGCAATCTCTTACAACACCACCGTCGTCCAATTTGACCCTCAGTGCCGCGGTAACAATTGCAATGTCGTCATCTTTTCGTTTCGCCTGCTTATAAGCTCGGTAGAATTCTCCCTTGGCT